TTTTTTTTTATATCAAATACTGTGATTGCATTATCAAATTAATAATGGGCAAAGAAAAACAACATGTTAGTATTGTTGTTATCGGCCATGTTGATTCTGGCAAATCAACTACCACAGGCCATTTGATCTATAAATGCGGAGGTATTGACAAGCGTTCTATTGAGAAGTTTGAAAAAGAAGCTGCTGAGATGGGCAAGGGCTCGTTTAAATACGCCTGGGTTTTGGACAAATTAAAAGCCGAAAGAGAAAGAGGGATCACCATTGATATTGCTTTGTGGAAATTCGAGACACCCAAATACTATGTCACTGTTATTGATGCTCCAGGGCACCGAGATTTCATCAAGAACATGATCACAGGCACCTCTCAAGCTGACTGTGCTATTTTGATTGTTGCTGGAGGTGTTGGTGAGTTTGAAGCTGGCATCTCTAAGGATGGGCAAACCAGAGAACACGCGTTGCTAGCATACACGTTGGGTGTCAGACAGCTAATCGTTGCTGTGAACAAGATGGACTCTGTCAAATGGGATGGTAAAAGATTTTTGGAGATCATAAAAGAGGTGTCCAGTTTCATCAAGAAAGTGGGCTACAACCCCAAGAGTGTGCCTTTTGTTCCGATCTCTGGGTGGAATGGCGACAACATGGTTGAGCCCTCCTGCAACTGTCCATGGTACAAGGGCTGGACCAAAGAAACCAAAGTTAGAAATTATGGCGGCAAGACTTTACTAGAAGCTATTGACTCGATTGAGCCACCAACCAGACCCACTGACAAGCCATTGCGTTTGCCATTGCAAGACGTGTACAAAATCGGTGGTATTGGAACTGTGCCAGTTGGCAGAGTCGAAACTGGTGTGATCAAGCCAGGCCAAGTTGTTACTTTTGCTCCAGTTGGTGTCACCACTGAGGTCAAATCTGTTGAAATGCACCACGAGTCTTTGCCACAAGGTGTTCCAGGTGACAATGTTGGATTCAATGTGAAGAATGTTTCTGTCAAAGATATCAGACGAGGCAACGTTTGTGGCGATGCTAAGAACGACCCACCAAAGGGCTGCAAGTCGTTTGATGCTCAGATTATTATCTTGGACCACCCTGGACACATCTCTGCCGGCTATTCTCCAGTGTTGGATTGCCACACTGCTCACATTGCTTGCAGGTTCTCTGAATTGTTGACCAAGATCGACCGAAGAAGTGGCAAGACATTGGAAGAAGAACCAAAGTCACTCAAATCCGGCGATGCTGCTATTGTCAGAATGGTCCCATTCAAGCCAATGTGTGTTGAAGCATTTGCTGAGTATCCACCACTCGGCAGATTTGCTGTCAGGGACATGAGACAGGCAGTTGGTGTTGGTGTAATTAAAAAGGTGGATAAGTCCGAACCAACATTTGCCAAAGTGACTAAAGTTGCGATCAAGACATCGAAGAAATGAGGATATAGGTATTTGAGTATTTGAATATTTGGGTATTTGGGTATTTGGGTATTTGGGTATTTGGGTATTTAGGTTTTATATTTTATATTTTATATTTTATATTTTATATTTTATATTTTATATTTTATATTTTATATTTTGTTATTTTTTTTTGTTATTTTGTTTTGTTTTGTTTTGTATGCTTGACTAATTCTCATTTCTATATAACAGTTTATTTAGGATTAAACATCTGTTTGCTCAATCGTAGTAATTAAAACTTTCCTAATTTGGAATGACACTGGCACCGCCACACACCACATCCAACAGCCTATTTCGGCCTAATGCGTGTGCGTGCCACACACAAACCAGGCTGGTGAAACGCCAACGATAACGGATGCCGCCGGATAGCCACGGCACGGATAGTGACTCATGGATCGCTTCTAAAAATTTTTCAGAGATACCGTGCTGTTATTTATCAACAATCTCCTTACCAATTGGGCTCGAGCAGAACGAAATATAAGATAGCATCTGTGGCGGATTTGAGCTGCTATTGATATTTGGAGATACTATACTACTATACTGTTGACACTTTTCATATTCTGAGCATCTTGCAGCACCATTTGAGTTGCAACAATAGTTTTTTACATTAATTGATTACTTATCTACTTAGTTTGCTTGTTTACTTATTTACTTGTTTACTTATTTATTTCATTAATTAGATCAATCTGACCATGACAGCCTCTGAAGAGACAAAGGTTGACAATGTCGCTGAAAAACTAGAAAGCGTGAAGATCAAAGACCAAGTCGATGACAAAAAACAGGCCTCCAAACAGGCCAAGTCCAAAGGAAATGCTAATGCTAATGCTAATGCGAAGTCCAAGCCAAAACTCAAGGCAAAGGGAAACCAAAACCCATTGTTTCTTGATCCACAACCAGAGTTCATCAAGTCAAGAATTGAGTTGTTTGAGCAGTTGAAAGCCGAATACGACAAGGAAGTGGCATTGAAACCCAGGGTTGCAATCCAGATCACACTCAAGGACGGCAAGACCGTTGAGGGAGTCTCGTGGGAGACGTCGCCATTGGAGATTGCAAATGGCATTGGCAAGTCGTTTGGCGAGAAACAGTGCATTTCCAGGGTGAATGGCGAGCTATGGGACTTGGAAAGGCCCCTAGAGACAGACAGTAAGGTGGAGTTCTTGGACTTTGAGAGTGAGGATGGGAGAAAGGTGTTCCACCACTCGTCAGCACACATTTTAGGAGAGAGCTGCGAGTTGAATTTGGGGTGTCTTCTATGCCATGGGCCCCCAGTGTCTGATGGGTTTTTCTATGACTTTGCTGTGGAGGACAGTGTGACACCAGACAATTTCAGTGCGATTGAGAATGTGGCCAAGGTTGCCGTCAAGCAGAAACAGAAGTTCGAGCGATTGGTGGTGTCGAAGGAAAACCTATTGAAGATGTTTGAGTACTCGAAATACAAGACGTACATGATCCAAACCAAGGTTGCTGACAACTCGTCGACCACAGTGTACCGCTGTGGGCCATTGATCGACTTGTGCATGGGGCCCCATTTGACCAACACCGGGAAGGTGAAGAGCTTCAAGATATTGAAGAACTCGTCGTCGTACTTTTTGGCAGACAGCAACAACGACTCGTTGCAGAGAATCTATGGTATTTCGTTTCCGGACAAAAAGCAGATGACCGAGCACTTGAAGTTTCTTGCTGAGGCAGCTTCGCGAGACCACCGCAAGATTGGGCGGGAGCAGGAATTGTTTTTGTTCAATGAAATGTCGCCTGGGTCGTGTTTCTGGTTGCCCCATGGGGCCAGAATCTACAATTCGCTAGTTGAGTTGCTAAGGTCGCAGTACAAGAAGAGAGGGTATGAAGAAGTGATCACGCCCAACATGTTTAACTCCAAGTTGTGGGAGATTTCGGGGCACTGGGGCAACTACAAGGAAAACATGTTCACGTTTGATGTGGAAAAGGAGCACTTTGGATTGAAGCCCATGAACTGTCCTGGGCACTGCATCATGTTCAAGTCCAGAGAGAGGTCATACCGGGAGCTTCCCTGGAGAGTCGCTGATTTTGGGGTGATCCACCGAAATGAGTTTTCTGGAGCATTGAGTGGGTTGACGAGGGTGAGACGATTCCAGCAGGACGACGCCCACATCTTCTGCACCGAGGAGCAAATTGGCAGCGAAATATCGAACATCTTTGAATTTTTGAAGTATGTGTACGGGATCTTTGGGTTTGAGTTCAAGATGGAGTTGTCGACAAGACCTGAGAAGTATGTTGGTGAGATCGAAACATGGAACAGTGCTGAGGCCAAGTTGGCAGAGTCACTCGATGCCTGGGGAGGTAAGTGGGAACTCAACGAGGGAGATGGAGCATTCTACGGGCCCAAGATCGACATCATGATCTCAGATGCATTGCGAAGATGGCACCAGTGTGCAACTATCCAGTTGGACTTCCAGTTGCCCAACCGATTTGGGTTGGAGTACAACTCTGAGGACTCGAACAAGGTGTCCAGGCCTGTTATGATTCACAGGGCCATCTACGGGTCCATTGAGAGAATGACAGCCATTTTGACGGAGCACTATGCTGGCAAGTGGCCCTTCTGGTTGTCGCCCAGACAGATATTGGTTGTTCCTGTGGGAGTGAAGTACTTTGAGTATGCGCAGCAAGTGCAAGAGCAGTTGAAGAGCGAGCATGGGTTCTGGGCCGACGTTGATGTGTCAGGCAATACGTTGCAGAAGAAGATTCGAACTGGGCAGATGCAACGATACAACTTCATCTTCATTGTGGGTGAGCAGGAGATGGAGTCCAAGTCAGTGAACATCCGAAACCGCGACATCCAAGATTTGCAGACCAAGAACGAGATGGTGTTGTTGGCAGATGTGATTCCCAAGTTGGTGAAGCTCAAGGAGGACAAGAGAGATGACAACATATTATAAAGCGATGAAGCCATAGAGTATGGAGTTTAACAGACATTAATTTAAAGAATTTGAAGAATTTAAAGAATTTAAAGATTTGTGTTGTTTGTTTTGCATTTGTATATGCTTGTTTTATACTTGTTTTATGTTTAATCAATTCTCAATTCTCAATTCCCAATTTCAGTTACCAAATCTCGATTCAAGATTTAATTCAATAACCAAAATTATTTGCAACAGAACTGTTGTTTGTATTGTTTGTATTGTTTGTGTTGTTTGTATTGTTTGTGTTGTTTGTGTTGTTTGTGTTGTTTGTGTTGTTTGTTTTGTTTGTGATTTCCGTTTTTAATTCATAGTTCAGTCGACATTAAGATCATGATTTTGTCATCTAGTATAGTATTATATATATGATCAACAATACCATTGCATCATTGTCATTCAGATTTGTATCGTAAAGTAAACTCTTGTTTTTCAATTTTATTGCTTAATTATTAATTTTAATTTGGATTCAATTATTTTTTGAAATATAGTGATTATCGGGCTAATTTTTTATAAAAATTTGGTTATGTTTTGAAATTAATTTTATTTTTCCTCTATTTGAACTACAAACACTATTTGGCGATAAAAACTATTGAGATTCATTAATCAAACCTACATGTATCTGTTTTGGTTTTAAAATGTTATCGCATTTAAGTTATGGATGAAATATTGGACTACCAGAAATTATAAAAAGATTTTAATTAAAATTTAACTAATAAACAGATATCTTGCCTATAAAATAAAGATATATCATTTCAATCTAGAAAAATTGTAGATCTGAATAATTTTGAGAATATAAATAATGATATTCTAGATTTCCTAAATCATCAAATCTGCAGAGCTAGAGCTTAATTTTGGCTACCAGCCCGGGTAAGCTGCTTTTTGGTGATTGGAAAAATAACGAATGAAATGATGAATTAAATGTCATCTATTCAAATTCGAAGGTGAATAAGCTTATAATTTTAGATATGATTGGTCTAATAGGCAAGAACCAGACAAGCTTTTTGGGTGGATTCAAAAGTCTGTTGAATTTTTCTACTAGCCTGACATTGAATAAATCATGGAGATTGATAGAATGTCGTAAAACAAAGAAAGTCACTATTCCAGTAGCTGGCAAACCAAGAAAGAGTAAATATGTTCCAAATAAACCTCCAGCTGTTCCTATTTATAAGTATGGTCCTTCACATATATTCAAACAAAGTAATAGAGGTCTATATGGAGGTAAATTCATTAGAAGTGGGTTTTCTTATATTGAAAACGATCACTCTGTTACCAAAAATAGAAGAAAATGGAAATTGAATGTTTTGAAAAAAAAACTATGGAGTGAAACGTTAGGGAAATTAATTGAGGTCAAAGTTGTTGCAAGTGTATTGAGAACAATCGAAAAAGAAGGTGGAATTGATAACTATTTGATTAAAGAAAAATCAGCAAGAATAAAAGAACTCGGGCCATTCGGTTGGCAATTAAGATATCAAGTTTTACGAAGAATGGAATTTATGAAAAAACCAAATAATTGTTTGGAATTGCATGAGAATAAAGGAAATAAAACTCCAATCTATTTCAAAGTTCCTATCAAAGGTGTTGAACAAAAAATAAAAGTTGGCAAAAGAAAAGTCTTAGCTAATTTATACCATGCTGAAAAAATCAAACTTAAAAGTGGGTTTTCAAGAACAGAATTCACCCGCCAAAATAGAGATTTGTCAATTGAAGAATTAATCAAAAAATTGGAAAAGCTTAAATTTGATTTTAAAAAAATTGTCGTTGAGACACCAACTGTAACTAAAAATGGTGGTGAAGCCAAAAGTAAACCTAAGAAAAAACAGGCTAATCTAAGGGTTTAATAAAAGTGTTTTACCTGAGAGTCTGGCTGAAATATAAATAATTTTGTTTTAAATATTCTTTATCGTTACTTTTGAGTAAATCCAATTTGCTTGTAAATAGCATTTTTAAGGAAATCAGTTGTAGATATCTATCGAAATAATTGAGACCAATATTAAAGAATTTCTATCTTGTAAGCCCTGATTAAGTCACGGTTAATTGTACAGGGCTCTATAAATGACATAAATTTCAGCGATCACAATTACTCTTTTTGTTTAATAGTGTGAATGGATTTTCCAGACCCAGACGGGAACGGTCAGATGACCTGTTTTGTTTTGGTGATTGAAAATTGTCATAATTTAATAAAAACATATTGAAGCTTACCAACGTACTATCTAAGAAGCAACATCAATATACTAGAAAATGGCTAAATCAGGTATGTCTGTTTAAAGACTAAAGAAACAATAGATCCAAATGACTTTGACTTATATTAAATAATTGAATAGATTTGAAAAATAGGGCATTATATCAATTGAAATGCACAGCCTTAAATTATTACTTTATATTAGAACCACTTTTAAAATTATTACATTTATTGTTTATTGAAAATTTATGGAGTTATAAATTGTTTTAGTTGAATTTTTGTTTTAATTTTAACGAATATTAAATTGGCGCTTAAAAAAATGGATCTATTATTAAATCTATAAAAGTTTAAGATGAAGATTTAGTTTTTTTTATTTCTAGTTAATCAATTTAACAACAATGGATTTCAATTATTATAATATATTAAGGTTATTATAGATATTTATAAACAATTTAAATTTAAAAAGAATTCAATTTGACAAGTACAATCAAATATATGCTTATTTTCTAAACATTTTATTTATAACTTAGAAATGTTTACAATTAGAAGAAAAGAAATTTTTATAAATTTTCTCAATTTTTTGGAATAATTATTAAACATGATATTCTTTTGTTATGTTTTTGGTTTTATCTATTTTTAACAATTACAAGATTAATGTCATTAGCATCTTTAGATTTTCTTGACCCAATTAAATGATTTTCAAAATACTAATTTATATTTAATAAATTTACAAATAGGTATTGCTGTTGGTATCAACAAAGGTCACAAAGTTACCCCAAAGGCTGTTGCTCCAAAAATTTCTTACAGTAAAGGTAAAGTTTCCAAGAGAGCTTTATTTGTCCGTGAAATTATCAGAGAAGTTAGTGGATTAGCACCATATGAAAGAAGAACCATTGAATTAATTCGTAATACTGGTGAAAAGCGTGCTAGAAAGCTTTGTAAGAAAAGATTAGGATCATTTGGTCGTGCTAAGAGAAAGGTCGAAGAAATGAACAAAATTATTGCTGAATCTCGTCGTCATCATGGTCACCACTAAATTAAAGTATCCTGAAATAAATATTTTTTATTTTATTTTTTAAATTTTAATTTATTTTAGAATTGTGAATTAATAGTTGTAATTTTGTACATTATTTTTGATTAGTAGATAAGATACGTATCAGATATGATGGATGAATGATATTAATGATATGAAATGAAAATAATAAAAAGCAACAATTCGAGAGCAAATATTTATACGTTCTAATTTTAACATTTTAACATTTTAACATTTATTACTCAATATTCACTGAGCTGTAGTGCTGAGCATTGATTGGCCAAATAGGGTAAGTAGTGTGTGATTTAGATTTTGTATGGCGATAAAATTAATAATGGTAGAACCATTAATGATAGACTATCAATGTTGATAGATTGTTGAACATAGATTTGATACGTTTTACATTAGTCGAGTATTTGGGTTATTCGGTTACTAGATTAATAGATTATGAATGTTTATTTCAAGAATAGCTCATTTGTGAGGTCAATAGTACCTTCAATTAAAAGCGTTGCACCGGCGAGAAGATATATAAAGCCACCAACCTATTTCTCAAATGATGTTTCTCCAGTTCAACAACAACAGCAACAACAGCAACAACAAGCACAGTCTCAGTTACAATACAATGAACATTTAAGAAACACAAAATTTTTTAGTGTCAAAGATTATGGATTCGGCTTGTTGTTGATCAGTTTTATATACTTTTCATTTGACAATTATTTGAAGGCAAAGGAATTGGAAGGAAAAGTAGTGGAACAAATCAATAATAATCATAAGGCTCTAGCGATTGCACAAATGTCTTTTAACAAAACCAGAAAGAAAAGAGAAATGCAAATATTAAACGAGAGAAGCAATAATCAAAAAAGAGAAATGAAGATGGTTTTACATGTTGCAATGCTCAGAAAACAATTGAGAGATAATGGAATTGAGCCAGTTAATATCGACGATGCTACAGCTGAGTTTGAGAAGAATGTGAAAATGGAGAACTCGATGAGCAATCTCTCAGGAACCAGTTTGTGGGTTGTTGACGACGCGCCCATAAAGTCATTTGTTCCCAACATCCATGAGTATGACAGAAGAAAGTCATGAGCACAAGACTACTGGAGGCCATTGAGAAGAGCACATTTTCTCCCAGATGCTGTAAATAAAGTACTTATATTCGTAGCCACTACATATCTACATACTCTCTCATCCATAGCTCGCTGTGTCCTTCGTCTCTTCTCTTCCGAAGACCTAAAAAGAAAGACCGGCACAGAATTACCCTTCCGCGCACCACCGGTATAAATAGCTTCGTTTCTCCTGCTTCTTCTCCATCCTCTTCTTTTTCTTCAACAATGTCTTTTACAGGTGCCCAGAGTCACGGTTCGTTCCTTTCCATGGTCGTTACGTATTGTCTTTGACGATTGTCGTGCTCGCGGCTACCTCAGAGTAAGCAGCTTTTGTTTCGGCAGAAGCAGTTTTAACAGCCTACACGTCGTGTCAATGCTCGTCGATAGTTTGACTATGCGGTTCAAAATGTACATTATCAATAGACACAGTAGAGTAGAATATGAATATGAATGTGAATATGGGCGAGCAAAAATGGTTGAAGAAAGTCCAGTCAGTGGTTGTGATGCCATATCTCAGCATCGATCTTCTCTTTTTGTCTTTGCTCGATCTTGAATTTCAATAGTCGTGGAATTGGACAGCATACTGTTTTTGCTTCGTCTCCATTTTCCTGATAGAATTTACTGCAGCACGAATATAACTTATCGATCAACTTTGTGCATTTGGATTCGTTGTAACTAGTTCTTTTCAAGCAGTCTGCAATTTGTATTATCAAAGTTAGTATGGGCGATATTTTCTCTTTATTGGTGTTATTCAGTAAAGCGTGTTGTTTTGGTTAATTACCTTGAATAGCACAAGCCTGGGGTTTGCAAGGATCTGAATTACGACTTCGGCTTGTGGACATTGTGAATTGTAGATTATAATTAAAATGGTCTTCTAATATGTGGTTGTTTAAAGAGAGCAGCAATCGATTTTCAAAGACATTTTAGAATGAGACATAATCAATTTTAGAAAATTTTTATACTTCGCCGTGAGGTTAAAGCAAAAAAAAAAAAAGCAAATTACGAATGTTCCATAAATAAATGTCATATTGGATGAACTGAAAGATATATGAGGAAAACTATATAAACAAAGGTAAAAAATAATAACAGGAATAACAAATAATATAGATATAAATATAATGGAAATGAAAAAGAAAAAAGAAAAAAGAAAAAAGAAAAAAAAGAAAAGAAACGAAAGAAAAATGACAATTCGTAAATTCATAATTTTATTTTAACACCTTGAAATTCTTTCCCACAAACCAAGCCAAACCAGTCGCCTGTAACGTTCCAACTAACATTATTAATTTCATAGTTTTCTCCATGAGCTGCCGATGGACAAATAATTACATTGTTTTTAATTGTTGAATTTGTGCCATTGATCCATTTATTTTCGCAGTATTGTTGAAAATGTTGGCTTCTAATTAGAGATTTTTCACCACTGGATAAATCCCAAATAAACGCTTGACAATCATCTGAACCCGATAATAAGACCTGTTTAGTTGGATGCCATTTAATTGAGTTCACAGGGCGATCATGTCCTTCGAGTGTTAATAATGGTAAGCCGGGGTATCTTCGATCAACTATTATAATTGAGGAAGAATTGGCAGCAATTGCTGCTATTATATCTTCATCAATATTACTTGTGGCGACTCTTAATAGAGGGTAATTTAATTGGGACTGACTAGAGGTCATTGAGGCATTAGGAGCTGAAGGTAATGGCTCGTAAATTATTGTTGAATGTTTCAAAGATCTTAGGTCGAATATTCTCATTGAACCATCATTTCCAACAGAAGTGAAAATGTCTTTTGAGCCTGCAACAAATTGGACATCAAAGACTTCGCTGTCATGAGCAATTAATTGAGTCTTTGCTACACCTTGATTTAAATCCCAAACTGTGCATGTAGTGTCAATTGATGAGGTTATTATCATATTTGTATCAATTTTATTCCAATCAAGGGAGGTCAATGGAGCCAATGAATGAACATCAATATCAACATTGGGTTTACTTGATCTCGGTAAACTTAGTTTCTCACAAATGACGTTTGGATCGTTAGAATTCATGTGAACTTCCCAGATTTTAAGACTGTTTCCACAGCTCGCAAACCTTTCGCAACTGGCACCTGTTGGAGAGCCAGATCCCAAATTTCCACCGGCTTTTATTATAGGATCCCATTGTATTTTTGTGCATGGGTAATTGACTTTGATCTCAGCAATTTCAAAGAATTCATAACCCCAATGTTTTGCATCCTCATCGTCGTCGCTTTCTCTGCTGGATTTTCTCTGAATTTCATTAAAGCTCAGATTTATGCTTAAATCTAGACCAGTGGTTGGATGCGAAATGTCATCTAAACTCAGAAATGGTATGCTATTATCGCTATTGCTGCCACTGCTGCCACTGCCGCTGCTACTACCGCTGCTGGAAGACAAAGGCTTTTCGGTTGGAAAGCCATGAAGCACCATGATTTTGTTTGCAGAGTCCTCGCGATAGCTAGATAGGGCCACAACCTGAGACTCGCCAACAGCACCCCAGTCGAGAGCATACAAGGGCCAATGGGTCTCAAAAGCGACCATTTTCCTATTGATAAATGGGCCTGCGGCGGACCTGGTCTGGGGAGCATACTGAGCAGCAATGGACCTGGTCAAAGGCTCGCGAGCAAAGAGAGAGGAGCTGTCATAGGCATAAGGATTGTAATTCATTGCTGTGCAACTGGTGGAAGAGGGAGAAGAAGCTGGAGAAGAAGCTGAAGAAGCACGAGAGCGAGGGGCGAGCATGTGACGCGTGGTTTTGTGGATCGGCGCTGGTGGCGGAAGCAGAAGAAGCACGTCCACCACAAACAGCAGAAGCAGCACAGCAGAAACAGCACAGCAATGGCCAGCAGCAGCAGGAGAAGAGTCATGAACGAGATCAAGATCATGAAGGACAACACGTCCGACTGTAAGTAGCCCCCTCTCCTTTACAGCTCCCACAGCACCTACTAACACCTCCCAGTGATCACCTTTGTCGAGTCTGACAGCTTGGATACGTGGTACATCAAGATGAAGGTGGCCAACAACCCTCTCTACAGCAATGAGGTTTACACCTTGAGGATCGACATCACCAGTGACTATCCTTTTCTGCCTCCCATTGTTCGCTTCGTCGACCTGCCCATACCTGTTCATCCTCACATATATTCCAATGGCCACATCTGCTTGGATATCCTAGGTAGTGCCTGGTCTCCCATCCACAATATCCACTCTATGGCTGTATCAATCCAATCGATGTTGGCTAGCAATACACGAAATGAAAGGCCTCCTGATAACAGCTCCTATGTCAGCCATGCACCTTCGAATCCCCAGCATGCTCTGTTTTACTATCATGATGATACCATTTAATTCTCCAATTCTACTTTTCTACTTTTGGCTGTTTTATACAAATTCTCAATTTTTTTTATTGGTTTTCGATTTTTTTCAAATGTCTTTCCAGTATCATTCTAAGTGATAAGACCACTTTGCCTATCATCTTTATTTTTTTTATCTTTTGCGGTTTATTTAATCTGTTTTTTTTTCTCTCTTGTTTTTTCCCTTTTTTTTCGGTTTTATCAACCTAATTCATTTTGAATTTTGAATTTTGAATTCTAACTATAGATGGATATAATTAAAAAATTCAATAAAAATGATCAAAATTTAATAATAAAAAGAATATATTCACTGTTTTTGTTTTATCATAATTTCATATAACCTCATTATCATTCATCACCAATTAATAAAGCTTTGCAAAATCAGTCCCGCCATCTTCGCTTGGAGGAACTTGTAACCAGTTCAACTCGTCATATTCACAATTACAGTCAATAACGTGAAATGTATAAGCATATCTTGATTCTTCTGACAAATTCGGTTCACTTTTGTGTAAAACAGAATTATGAATTAAAATCAATGATCCAGCTTTACATTCAACAAATTTGTAATCCTCATCCATATCCTTATCCTTTATCTCTTCCTCATCCTCATCCTCTTTTCCTTCTTTTCTATTTTCAATTTCATTTATTGACACAATATTACACCCTGATCTGCCCTTATCAACCTTAACAAATCTCTTTTTAATCGGAAAGGTCTTATGAGATCCTGGGTTATAACTCAAACATCCATTTTTCTGACTGCAATTCTCCAATGCAAACCAAAATCCAATCGCACTCAAGGGCTTTGTATAAAGAAATACCCCATCTTGATGCGATGGAACTTTTGCGCCAATCTCTGGCTGTTTAAAAATCAACATACTTTGTAAAACCCTTGGATCGACAAATTTCAATTGTCTAGCTATTTTTTGAATTCGACTATCCTTCATTGTAATTTTATTAAATTTTTCATCTTTTGTATGCAACGAGTGTCCAATCTTATTTATCGATTTTTCCTTCGCCTTAATTAACTCTCCTTCTTTATTAAATGCATCTGGTTCAAAAAAATAGGATATTTTATCCGACGACTCCAAAAAATATTCATCACCAATGTGCTTCTCATTCAAAGTTTCACCTGTTGTAAACTTGGTCATTGGGTGATTAGACAAATCCATATCATTTAACAACTCTTTAGAATGACATAACAACTCTTCAACTTGTTCTGCTGAAAGAAAATTGGGTAAGCAAAGACATCCCTCTTTATCAAACTCATTCAATTGTTTAATCGTCAATCCGTTCTCATAAGAAATCATTTTATTTCAATGTTGTAACCATACAAATATCAATACCAACATAAATATCAATATAAATATCAATACAAATGTAGATGCAAATGTAAATATAAATATAAATATAAATATAAATGTATCCAATTTTCTATCTTCATGTTATCTCTTGTTTTTCAACCAATGCTTATCTCTGCTATAATTTAACGAAAAACATTAGCTAGTTTACGAAAATCCCTCATACAAAATGCTGCTTTTTTTAAATCAATTTTCGTAATTCCTATTTTATGTGCTCAAATTATCCTAATTATCTCCGTTTTTGCGAAATTATTTAAGTTTTCCTCTACATTACTTCCCACATTATTTCTGAAATAATAACAATCTTCAATTTCTTTTACTTATCAACCATTTACCCTATAAGACAAATATATCCATTGGTATCATGAATCAAAAAAAAATCTTGTTGATGGTATGCTTGATTTTGTATTTTTAACACTCTTGCTATTGTTTTGATCCATTTTTTATTTCAGCAATTTTGTACTTTGCCTTCCCTGTTAGCTTCCTGATTATTGCTCAACATCTATTGGTTTTCTAATTATACTAACATAGTATTAAAGGGTCGTAGTGGCTCAGGAAAAACATCCATGAGAAGTATGATTTTTAATAACTATTCCGCCAATGAGACAAGTAGATTAGGCGCTACTTTATATGTTGAAAGAACTGAAGTTCGGTTTTTAAATAATTTAAATCTATCGATTTTAGATTGTGCAGGTCAAGACAATTTAATGAAGAATATTTTGATGCCTGGCAACAATCAATTGGCGTTGTGTCAAGTTTTAATTTATGTCTTTGATGTCTCAAATATTGAAGAACCAAAAGATTATATAACCTTTGTTGATGTTATAAAAAGATTAAATCAAACTTCCCCCTCATGTAAATTTTTTATTTTATTTCATAAATGGGATTTGGTCATGGAACATGAAAAAGAGACTGCAAAATCAAACATTATATCCGCTTTGATTAAATCTGGTGAAGAGATTAAATTTCATGAATTGTATTTGAATGGTACTGTTAAGATCTTTACAACCACAATTTGGAATGAGACTCTATATTTAGCCTGGTCAAGAGTTGTTGAAGAATTAGTTCCAAAGGCAAATATAATGAAAAATTACTTGAAAAAAATTTCAAGAGTTTTAAATGCAAAAGAGTTGATTATCTTTGAAAGAAAATCTTTTTTATCAATTGTTTCTTATTCAAATATGTTTGATCAAGATAATTTTTATAACTTTAATTCTGATAGAAATGATGGCTATTCTCATTACGGTGTTACAGCTGATAGAAGTCAAAAGATTTCCTCCATAATAAAGACTTTTAGAAAATCAGCCTCTTATTATAATGGTGGAAAATTTCAAAAATTAACTTTGCACTCAAGATCCTCAATAATTTATCTTGATGAATTGACAGATACAATGGCAATAATGTTAGTTTTACCTAACGCAATGCTTAATGAATCCCCAATAAATCAACAAAACATTAATAACGGTAATAGTGGCAATTATTTACAAAATAACCAAAATGTCTCATCCTCAACTAATGCAAATGAAAATAACTCTATGAACTATAATTATTTAAATTCCAACACAAGTGTTAAAAATAGTTTTGAAGATTCATTTATTGGAAGCGTTATAAAAACCGCCAGAGATTATTTTCAAAACATCGATTTTGGTTCAAACTAAGATTGATATTTATTTGGTTAATCATGATACAATTTAAATTGAACTCAATCAGCTATATATCTATTTTCTATTTAATTTAATGTTTTTTTGTTTACTAATTTTAAAATAATTGATAAATTTGGTGTTCTCTAAATCGACGTTAAAATTTGCTACACACATCATATAATTTATCAATTTCCATATTCAAAAGTCAACCTATAATATTCTTTTATCTTTTTGGTTTTGTTGTTTTTAAAATTATTTTTAAAACTTTAGTATTTAAGGTAATGTATGTGAAAATGTGTTAATTAAAAATTAAAATATTTGTTTTTAGCAAGGTTTACTATGTAAATGCTAAGAAATTGGTTAAAATCCTTTTTACGATACAAATCTGAATGACAATGATGCAATGGTATTGTTGATCATATATATAATACTATACTAGATGACAAAATCATGATCTTAATGTCGA